GTGTCAAAATAGATTATTTTATTAGTGATGATAAATATGTTTCCTATGGAGTCCCTCAGGGCAGTGTACTAGGACCGACATTGTTTCTGGTATACATAAACAGACTCGGTCGCTTGACTATTCCGAATTGTCGCATCATCACGTACGTAGATGACACTGTTCTCTTGGCACACGACAAAACCTGGGAGACTGCTCGATGGCGAATGGAGGTGGCCCTGCATGTTGTATCAAACTGGCTCTGTGACAATATGCTGACCTTAAACATTGACAAGACCAAGTATATTACCTTTTCTGCATCAAAATTCTGCACAAAAAAGACAATAAGAGGCGGTCTTCACGCGACCTAACCTACCTAACGCGAATAAAATTAATTAATAGAATGTTACTGAATATACGAAGTAAATAATTGAAGATTCGTTAATGGCATCATTGGATGTGGTAGAGGAGGTAAATTTAGTCAACAACCATACATAAGCTTGCTTTCAGTTTTTAGAAATTGTATTTAAACAAATAGGAAGACTGTGTAGCTCGCCGTGAGATTTCATCATGGCACGGTAGCAAAACGTGTAAGATTCCCTCTAGGATGAAACTCTCTGCAGCCTGTGCCCTGTAGTAACATGTATGTAAGCTGGTACTTTTTTACTTATCATGGGGCAATATATGCAGTTTTTATTTCAGTCATATTTTCGGGAATGTTCCTTTTTGGTGTTCACTCTACCGTAAATGTTTAGGCCAAATCTTAACATTTAAAACTTGCATTCAACACGCTCGTCTCGGCGCGTTCATCCGATGGTATTTAGGTCACCGTCTGGCCCCCTTTCCCGCGCACGTCTCTCCGCTCACTCTCGGTCGCCTGACGTGTGGGTGATCAACCGGTTTTGACGGCTTGGGCCGGCGGGCACACGTTTTGCCCGCGGTAGCCGTGTCCTAAGAATCTTCAAGTTACGCTCGAATCGTTATTTCGCGTGAAGACCGCCTCTTATTGTCTTTTTCGTGCGTTTACGTGACAACGAGGCTTTTCTTGAGTTTGAGTGATTAACTTAACTTCGCTTGCCATTAATTTGCGTCGACGAGTTGCTTGTGTGGCATTTTAATATCGTACGAAGACATTTTTCCTTTGTCGGTTAGAATGCTAAAAATTTGTGACCCGAGAGGAGATTGCGTTCGTCTTCGATTATAATTTTGTGCTAAGTGACGTTAGACTTGAGTTCACATAAAGGTGAACGCCCACTGGAGTGATCGCACATTGTGGAGCGGAGCAGCGCATGTGGGTCTGCTGCCCGATTACATCGGTGACGTCAGGTTACATTTACATACTTTCTCACACCACTTACACCCACCTACTTACCCCTGACGGTACCTTGTGGTCAACCCTACCTCCGGAACTCGGTAAGTTTGTGTTTGTTTATCCAGCCATTACATAATAATTATCCATAGGCCATTTGGACCCGAACCCTCTGGTTGCCCGTCGAGTGGGCTACTCATGGGCCCTAGTCCAGTAGACTTCTGTCGGGGCAACTGAGGGAGTTTTAAACAAATATTAAAGGTTGCAAAGATGAGCAGAACATCGTCATTATCGTCAGCCTATCACTAAAATAAAAGTCCACTAAAATAAATATAGGACTCCCGCATAAATTGTCAAGTAGCTGCATACTCGTATTTGCTATAGTTGCCATTCTCGGTAGGCGGGTTGGCAAGCAGCTATTATTATTTTGATGTGTTGTCGTGTAAATTTGATTTGTTGCTGTATTGAAGATGATGCTGCCCGTCTCCTGTTTGTTTTCCTATGTCGCCTCTTACGACGGGACGATATGAAGTGACGGATTCTCTTTCGCTGCCACAACAAGGCAAACATTTTCCTACTCCCGTTCACAAGTGTAGTGCTACCCACGTTCACTGTGAATTAAATTTATAAGGAATAAAACTAATTTTAAGGATTTTATCGCGTTTATTTTAAGTTTTTTAATTCCCGATGTTTTGGACACTTTACAGCAGCTATGGGCACGGAAGGACTGAGGTGTTTGACGACCTGATGTCATAGTAGTAATAGAATAGAATTAGAACAGAATAGACTAAATGCAATAATATTCTTGGGTTTGTATTTAATTTTATTAATTATAGGGCCCATCAGGTAGCACTCAGCCATTTCCTTTATAAAAATTAGGATATTTTTTATTTCAATAATTTCGTGACTCATTCTACCAATGATGGTAGAAATGGATAGAAATCGGTGTTCTTTGAATTGGAATTGCAAGGATTTGTTGTCTATCAGATCCGATATAATGTTTGGGACGATACTAAACATGTTGACATACTTTAGACTTCCCGGAGCGTCGGTGCTTCATGACAACGATATTTTTTTTTATAGAATAAGGGTGACAAACGAGCACACAGTCCACCCGATGGTAAGTGGTTGCTGCTGCCCATAGACATCTACATCTATCCTCGTTTGCGAATCAAAATGCAGATGCGTTGTCACCCGCGAGGACTAAGATGGAATGCCTCATTTCCAGTAAAAAGGGCCTCCGGCCACCTGCACTCACCAAGCGAAACGCAGAGGTAAACCTCTATTTCACGCTGGTATTCTGTGAGGTCGTGGTACCACCCCGGTTCGAGCCGGCCCATCCGTGCGACAGCAAAAGCTGCCGCGTGGCTCTACCACTGTTAAAATGCATATTTTTATGGAACTTTCAAAGTGTAATGTAGGGTAAGCTTATTGTTAGTATAAGGAAGGTAGTTTGTGACCTCCCTCTCTCGCAATAAATGGTTGCACTGTACGGACGTGTTTTCCTTTGTCTCACTGGCGACGAGGATTTTAATGGTGAAAATCGGCGAAAAATACGTGAAAATAGAAAATACGGAAAATTTAGACTGCGAACAATTAGCGTGCAAAATGTCGGTCGGAAAGATTAGTGAGTTTGACGTGAAAACCAGTAACTGGACTGCTTACGTGGAGCGGCTAGAATAGTATTTTGTGGCAAATTCAGTGAAGGACGAAATTAAATTGCCTACCTTGATCGCAGCTATGGGTGGAAGTGCGTATGAACTGTTATCCACCCTCGCGAGTCCTAAGAAACCTGCGAAATTATTACAAGGTCGTTCACTGCGCACACGCCTTGACTGTCTGAAGCCGGAGCTGGGGCCCCGCGTGCGGCGCGAGCAGGCGCGGCAGGCGCGCGCCGCGAGCGGCAGTCGCCGGCAGTTCGCGACGGGAGACCGCGTATGGTACCGCGATTATCGTAACTCGGTTGTAAAATGGTTAAAAGGAGAAGTACACTCCAGACTAGGAGAAACGGACTATAATATTCTAGGGGCTGATAAAGTCTTTATTCATAGACATGTCGACCAGATAAGACCACGATCGGGGGAGCCGGATAGGGAAGAGGAAGACCGGGATGTTTCAGAAGGAGGAAGAGGTTCATTATCACGTTCCTATCTAGTGTATCCGAATGGCTCCTCTCCAGTGGTGGAGGAAGAGGCCAGTTCGAGTGGCAGAGAGGCCGCGGCCGGGTCCGCGCCCGCCGCGACGTCCCCGCGCCCCCCGCCCGCCCCGCAGCCGGCGCCCGCGGCTCCGAGCCCGGCGAGGGAGCGCCCCAACCCGCCTAGAACTCGTAGGGCCCCGCGACGTTATGGATTTGATTTTGATTAGTTGTAAGTTAGTTAAGTGATATGTGCTTTATTTTATATTAGTTTAAGTACGTTTAGAATAAGGGTGGAGGTGTAATGTAGGGTAAGCTTATTGTTAGTATAAGGAAGGTAGTTTGTGACCTCCCTCTCTCGCAATAAATGGTTGAACTGTACGGACGTGTTTTCCTTTGTCTCACAAAGATGCGTAAAAAACCCCACGTAAAAAAGTTAAAACTAATCATGATAAAATCCGTAACATTAGTTTTATTCTATGTGTAGTATACATCAATAAAGAACTACATTTCTGAAAATTGAAGTCTACTCGAACGTAAAAAAATATCTACATCAATTTTATGGTGCCAATCAATATTAAATAGGACCAAAGATATGAATAAAATATCTCAAATAAACATTATACCGTAAATTGATAGAAGACCATGAAATTCATCATTATTTTGTTAAAAATAAACCAACTTTAATTATGAATGAATGTAAAGAGTAAAATGTAAATTATAAGTATTGATTTCAACACTATTTACCTTTGTTATGGATACATCGGAAGACACGCCCCATATTAAAAATGGTAGGAGATAGACATATACATATATTCATGTGTTCCTGTAGCATATCATATCTATGCCAAATACCTAATCTACGTCTAATAGTCTTTTAGAATTTAAAAAAAAATCTTTGACAGTTATAGAGACACAGACACCGAGGTGACTGGAGCAGCATTTCATGATGTTCCTGAATTCAAGCATACGCGAGCGAAGCCGCGGATAAAAAGCTAGTTATTTATATATTTGAACTTAAGTTTAAAATTTGGCTACTCTTTGAAAAGTAACCTTGTATATCATAATCGTCTGATAACCACCAGATGAAATATGGTAATGGATTCTCTTACGCCGCCACGTGACAACTAAAACTTGTAATAGGCTTGGGAAAAAAAATATCGATATATCGTAATATCGACATTTTCACATAAAATATATATCGTCGATATTTTTAATCGCGATATATCGATATTTATTTTAGAGTATTGAAATCGTATCCATTTCGATATATTTTAAAATGTCGTACAAACAACAAAATCAGCTACAAAAGCATTCATGTGATGTTGTCGTTTTTTTCCTCGTCCAAACATCAGTAATTTTTTAAAACAAGAAAAAAAAATGAAAAATAAAATTAAATTTTAGGCCTTATCCCAGTACATCATGGAAATGATGACGATATATCGATATATGAATATTTATCACGCGATATATATCATACTGTTTAAAATCGATACAATATATATCGATATATTTTTGCATTTTCCCATCCCTAACTTGCAAAACTTTTTGTGCCTTATTTGCTTGTCGTGTAAAACTTACTCTGTACTTATTAATCAGATAATAAGCGTGCTCTGATGTAAGAAGTAACGACGTCTGTAGTCGCGTGTATCTCAGTATCGGCGATATTACGAAATTGATGAGAGCCGTCAGCCATTGGAGAGGTGATCCGATCATAGCCAAGCGCGTTGGGGTCGGAAAATTGAATTGCCTCACCCTATCGACAAATTAAGAGTTAATGGATATTAGTACATTTTTTATCTATCTTAAGTTCTCTGTTAAAAAAAGATAAAGTAAGAATTGAACAGATTATTATATTATATTAGTATTATGTAAGTATAGACTTACGATAGCGTAGGTTAAAGGTTAGAAATTCGTGCGACTGCTGAAGATAATACGGAAATATATTTTACAAAGGATTTAGTAGCCAGCGAGCGGAGCTTGTAATCCATTTACAAACAATCTTTAATTATACTTGAATGTGCGAGTAATTAAAGTTTGAACCTCACCCGCATTATTAATTGTAGTTTTTAAGTGCCGATTTACCAGCTGCACTGCTGTGAAGTAAAAAACATCGTGAGCAAAATGTGTATGTCCATGCAATACAAAAATATCGCGCCGCGCGGCGTCGCGGTCTCTTTCCCGATGGTCTCAGAACTCACAATGTTCTTTTGCAGAAACATAGACGTAAACGTAACTACGGGGCGTATAAGCAACCTGTTACTTTACTCTTAAACAAACTTCGATTAAAATATCGTTTTATATCAATTAATAAGCATTGTTATTGCCTTGTTGTTACCTAAAAACATTGCATGTATATTTTAGTAATATGGCTACCACTTCGCCTGAAGCAGTATGGGAGCGGCAAAAGCGTGAATATCTTATAAGTAAAGAGTAATTAATATATTTTGTCAATAAAATCCTACGTCGGATAAAAATTTACTGACACAAAGTGGTAAAAACTTCCTAGTTTCACGATGATAAAGATGTCCATACAAGAATTTAGTTTAAAAATAATTATAAAGACAGGGATTCTTGTTTTTTAACTACTACCCCACTGTGTAAGTAGGGATGTAATCGAAGATAGTAAACGGCTTAGCACAACAAAAGTCTCGCTTTGATTACACCTACACTGCAATCTCTCTTGTTGTCTCTTGTCTGGATTGGCAGGTGGGTTGGTAACCGAAGTTTTTTAACATTTCATTGGTTATCAGGAGAATGCTGCTGTCAAGCTTTCAATTTCCATTTGTCGCTTCTTACTACACTTACGGGATGATATGGAGTACCTAGTAGATACTTTTAAACCGCCACTAAAGGATAAATGATATAAACATAAATTGTAGAACTATAAACTGGCAAAAAATTGGAAAACAGTTAACATATTGAACTGAATACATTCGAATCAAATTATCACGATTACTATAGTATGTAAACTTTAGCGGAACCCTTTCATAAGCATGTTTTACGCAATTCCTTCTGCTCGCAAAGTATACTTGACCAATTTTTCACATAATTAAAAAAAAACATGTGTGTGTACTTATGTACGCATGTAGGAAGTTATACTTCTTTAGCATAACAAAACAAAAATAACTAAAAATAACTACCTTAAATATAGTTATCAGTTCCCACGAAAACTTAAGAGACAGTTACCCAATGAAGTTGTCGCTTTGAGGAGTTAGTGTGCGCGCGCATCGTAACAACTACATTGTGTCGCTTTTAGATGTCGGTGTAAGCGCGCATCGTAAAAAAATTACTTTCATAATTTTTCCCAAACGTCCCAAAAGAAGTATAACTTCAATTAAGTTGTGTCTCGCCAGCAACGCAAAGTCGGGAATTTACATTTGGAAAAATCCAAAATTAGGGGCTTTTTAGGTGCTAATTAGGTGCCAAGTTTAAAAATTAGGTGCTCTAAAATTTTCACCGCAACGAACTGTTGAAATTTGCGTTGCTAGCAAAACGTCTCGCTAGCAACGCAATGAAGTTATTAGATATACGAAAAATATTAATAGCAAGGAATAGTGCTAATTAGGTGCTGCAATTATACGCAATAACAAGGCGCCCCTAATAAAAATAAAGTCGTTATTCAGAACATAGCAGATGCAAAATTCAGATTTCCTGAAAATCAAAATAGAATCAAAATTGCTTTCAGAAAAAGTCTAAATTAGGGGCTTTTTAGGTGCTAATTATGTACCAAGTTTAAAAACTAGTTGCTCCAACATTTTCACCGCAACGAACCATTGAAATTTGCGTTGCTGGAAAAACGTATCGCTGGCAACGCAATGAGGTTATTAGATATACGACAAATATTAATAGCAAGGAATTAGGTGCTAATTAGGTGCTGCAAGTATACGCAATAACAAGGCGCCCCTAATAAAAATGAAGTCGTTATTCAGAACATAGCAGGTGCAAAATTTAGATTTCCTGAAAATCAAAATAGAATCAAAATTGCTTTCAGAAAAAGTCTAAATTAGGGGCTTTTTAGGTGCTAATTAGGTACCAAGTTTAAAAATTAATTGCACCAAAATTTTCACCGCAACGAACCATTGAGCGTTGCTGGCATAACGTCTCGCTAACAAGCTAGCAACGCAATGACGTTACTAGATTTACGATAAATATTAATAGCAAGGAATTAAGTGCTGAGCGATTATCGAAACCCGATACAGATTAAGGTATTATTCTGGGAATTATGGGGTCCACAACCACCATTACCTTACCATAATGTATGAACGGTATTTTTTGTTCTTTATCAGACATCGATCACTAATAAAAATATTAGTGATCGATGTTATAAGTGCCTAAAAATTAAGTGCTAATTAGGTGCTGAAAGATTATTGAGGTCGCATGTAGAGGTAGTATAGAGGTAATATTCTGGAAATTATCGGATTTTTAACCACCGTTACCTTATTATAAGGTATGAACGGCATTTTTTGTTTTTCAGATTTAATATAATCTATAATATTATTTAATATAATTTTCAACCAAATAAATGTTACAATTCTGATTTTTAGACATGTGAAGCCTAAACTTTAGTGTACGAAATCAAAATAACATTTTCTTTCCAGTAAAATTGCTTCATAATAAATATCGCCTTCTACTTCTTTCTATAGTTTAAATTATTTTATCGAACCCAAACCGATGGACTCTCAAGGTGGTAGGTATAAATTACGCTAGATGGCGTATACACAAAAAATTGATTTATTTTATTTTTTATTTATTTAAAAATAAACAATTTTATTAAATAAATAAAATAAATAATGATATTGAATAAAGTTATCATGTTTGTCCAATTCATTCATAACAATACACGATTTCATAGCTTACCGACCAATTTATATTAAAGTTTTTGTTCAAAAATAAACAAATACGACAAATTAATACCTACGTTATTTTACCGTTCATACCTAAATTGATTAAATAGTGGTCTGAATTTCAACGTAAACTGTGTGTTAGGGTTTATATTTGAAATCTTGATATATTATTAAATAAATAATTAATTGACAGTTTTCGTATCTCATAAACATGTGCCACGATCCACGAAAGGCAAATTAGTTTTGTAAAGTTGAATCATCAATACCAAAGATGTTTTTAAAACATCCTTGATCAATACCTTTAAAGTGTCCCAGTTCAAACGAACGAATCATTCATAATTGATACATGTCTATTTTCTATGTCTATTTCATTCTCCATTTGTTGTTTCATAACGCAGTGCGTGCAAAATTTTGTACGATTTATTTTAATTTATCTTTTTATCTTAATATATAAAACCAAGTCGGGTTTTATATATTATAACTAGTGTCTGACCGAAACAGGATTTTCAACCGAATCCGAAATCGAACCTTCGGTCCGGGTGTCAGTTTCGACTGAAACCGAAACCGAAACTTATTTAGACATGTTAATTTATTTTATTTTATACTGAAATCTGGTATAAATTTTTTATACATATACAGATAGTTAATGCATGTTAATGAAAAACAGTCATTGTAATAGTCATGTACTCGTAGCAATATATTATTTATTTTAAAGTAAAAATCAACAATTTAACGGTAAGAAATACCCATGAAGCTAATACAAATTTTTTTGTATTTGCTTCATGGAAATACCCATAAAAAGTTACTCGCTAATTGAGAACATATTTTATTGTGTTCTCAATATTGTTAATATTATTCAATGAGAGCATTAACTTAATATATCACACTCACACACTTACACACAATATACACACAACTTAACAAAATCCCAGAAAATATACAAAACCTGCTCAAAGTTCAAAAACTTTAGTAAACTAAGTTTGTATAAAAAGGGTTATTATAATATTAAGGAATTTATGGATGATAATAACCCCTGGGAATAAGGTGATCACTACCAAGCTATTTCTAATTTGTTTTATGTTGTTAATTGTGTTACATTACATACATGATTGTAAGCAGTGGCGTAGCTAGACGTGGGCGAAGTGGGCTCTCGCCCACGGCCTCGCTCTTAAAGGGGCCTCGCTAAGCCCCCAAAAATGTGATGCCCCCAGACTTTACTAAAACTTTGATAAATAGTTAAAATGATAAACTAATAATAATATGTATATTTACATATTTTTATGTAAATAACTAAGTACGGTACCCCAGAAACTATATATAGACACATCATACAGCTTACAAAGATAATTAGAAGAATAAAGAATGAAATACAGTGGATTTCATTTATTACGCCCTTGGTTGTAGCGACCATTTACCTATAGAGACGTTAAATCTAAGTCCCTTGAATTTAAAGCATATTTTAGTACAAAATTCATGTGGTTATAACGACTTTGGATGTAACGCCGAGTTCGGGTGTAGCGACTATTCTTAATGAATCATTTGTAACAAATTCCTAGAAATCCCATGCAGATATTGCGACCGGAGTCGGCCGCCAAAGACACAAAGATTTCTTTCTTTCACAAACATTTCTTATCTTTTGTTTACATCCATATAGATGGTCAGCAAGTGTGGAGACCTTTACCTATTGTTTATAGATATCAGCTAAGTAGGCAAGGAAGCGTGTACGTTTCGGAGTTAAGTTTATGGTTCAGTTACAAAGTGGTATTCTGAGTAGCAACTGTAATGTATTGAATTTGTTACCTTTGCCTGTAACGACTTCCGGATATAACGACGAAAATAGAGTGGTCCCTTCATCGTCGTTATACCCGAAATCCACTGTAGTATGTTTTGTCGTCGAAGCGATCACGCTGTGCTTGACTTGACCGCACATTGACCTCAAATGAGTTATACCTAGTAGAAGCACAGTAAAGATTTATAGACTGTGGTAGTAGTTTGTATTTGTAGTTCCGCCGTTCGCCGTACTACTCCGTCTCCGTGCGGGACGCAAGGGTGAAACGAGTAAATAATCTAAGGGGTGAAATCGCAAAATTTTGTAGCTCAATACCACTCAATATCCATTCATTAGGGTTTTTTTTATTATTGTGTAGTGTAAGTGTAGTGGTGTTGGCAGTAGCGGTGCTGGGATTAGTGGTGACAGGGATAGTGCACGCAATTGAGGGAGGGCGGGAGGTGCTCTTCATACTAGGTAAGACACATTTTATTTTATAACGCGGATATTTGCGAAATAAATTTTTCTAAAAGCTTTTATATAATGGATTTCCGCAAAGTAACGCCTGATTATATTAATTATAAAACAATTTAAAACAATTTTTAATCGTTACCTAGTTTAAAAATTATTTTACATTTTATTACATTTATTTGTTACAAATATGAACTAAAAATATCATTTATATTTCATCGTAGGATTTACGAAAAATAACACTTCAAAATATTTCCAGCAAACGATTGATTTAATATAACTTTCAACTCTGCAAGTGCGATATAATACATAGATAAATATATATGTAGCAAGCTAATATAATATATACGATAGAACGATAAAAGTTTAATTTTATAGCAAATAGATGTTACAATTTTTTTTAGTGTACTAAATCGAAAGGCTATTTTTTTCCAGTAAATTTCTTTGTAATAAATAGCGCCATCTACAACGTTCTATAATTCTAGTCATTTTATCGAATCAAAATCGATGGACTCTAAAGGTGGTAAGTGCGATAGACGCTAGATGGCACAAAGACAAAGACCTGATTTTTGCATTTGCTTTGCTGAATAATTTTCGGAATAACGATTTTATTTTTATCTGGGGCGCCCTGTCATTGCTTATACTTGAAGCACCTAATTAGCACTTAATTCCTTGCTATTAATATTTGTCGTATATCTAATAACTTCATTGCGTTGCCAGCGATACGTTTTGCCAGCAACGCAAATTTCAATGGTTTGTTGCGGTGAAAATTTTGGAGCAACTAATTTTTAAACTTGGTACTTAATTAGCACCTAAAAAGCCCCTAATTTGGACTTTTTCTGAAAGCAATTTTGATTCTATTTTGATTTTCAGGAAATCTGAATTCTGCATCTGCTATGTTCTGAATAACGACTTTATTTTTATTAGGGGCGCCTTGTTACTGCGTATACTTGCAGCACCTAATTAGCACTTAATTCCTTGCTATTAATATTTTTCGTATATCTAATAACTTCATTGCGTTGCTAGCGAGACGTTTTGCTTACAATCATGTATGTAATGTAACACAATTAACAACATAAAACAAATTAGAAATAGCTTGGTAGTGATCACCTTATTCCCAGGGGTTATTATCATCCATAAATTCCTTAATATTATAATAACCCTTTTTATACAAACTTAGTTTACTAAAGTTTTTGAACTTTGAGCAGGTTTTGTATATTTTCTGGGATTTTGTTAAGTTGTGTGTATATTGTGTGTAAGTGTGTGAGTGTGATATATTAAGTTAATGCTCTCATTGAATAATATTAACAATATTGAGAACACAATAAAATATGTTCTCAATTAGCGAGTAACTTTTTATGGGTATTTCCATGAAGCAAATACAAAAAAATTTGTATTAGCTTCATGGGTATTTCTTACCGTTAAATTGTTGATTTTTACTTTAAAATAAATAATATATTACTACGAGTACATGACTATTACAATGACTGTTTTTCATTAACATGCATTAACTATCTGTATATGTATAAAAAATTTATACCAGATTTCAGTATAAAATAAAATAAATTAACATGTCTAAATAAGTTTCGGTTTCGGTTTCAGTCGAAACTGACACCCGGACCGAAGGTTCGATTTCGGATTCGGTTGAAAATCCTGTTTCGGTCAGACACTAGTTATAATATATAAAACCCGACTTGGTTTTATATATTAAGATAAAAAGATAAATTAAAATAAATCGTACAAAATTTTGCACGCACTGCGTTATGAAACAACAAATGGAGAATGAAATAGACATAGAAAATAGACATGTATCAATTATGAATGATTCGTTCGTTTGAACTGGGACACTTTAAAGGTATTGATCAAGGATGTTTTAAAAACATCTTTGGTATTGATGATTCAACTTTACAAAACTAATTTGCCTTTCGTGGATCGTGGCACATGTTTATGAGATACGAAAACTGTCAATTAATTATTTATTTAATAATATATCAAGATTTCAAATATAAACCCTAACACACAGTTTACGTTGAAATTCAGACCACTATTTAATCAATTTAGGTATGAACGGTAAAATAACGTAGGTATTAATTTGTCGTATTTGTTTATTTTTGAACAAAAACTTTAATATAAATTGGTCGGTAAGCTATGAAATCGTGTATTGTTATGAATGAATTGGACAAACATGATAACTTTATTCAATATCATTATTTATTTTATTTATTTAATAAAATTGTTTATTTTTAAATAAATAAAAAATAAAATAAATCAATTTTTTGTGTATACGCCATCTAGCGTAATTTATACCTACCACCTTGAGAGTCCATCGGTTTGGGTTCGATAAAATAATTTAAACTATAGAAAGAAGTAGAAGGCGATATTTATTATGAAGCAATTTTACTGGAAAGAAAATGTTATTTTGATTTCGTACACTAAAGTTTAGGCTTCACATGTCTAAAAATCAGAATTGTAACATTTATTTGGTTGAAAATTATATTAAATAATATTATAGATTATATTAAATCTGAAAAACAAAAAATGCCGTTCATACCTTATAATAAGGTAACGGTGGTTAAAAATCCGATAATTTCCAGAATATTACCTCTATACTACCTCTACATGCGACCTCAATAATCTTTCAGCACCTAATTAGCACTTAATTTTTAGGCACTTATAACATCGATCACTAATATTTTTATTAGTGATCGATGTCTGATAAAGAACAAAAAATACCGTTCATACATTATGGTAAGGTAATGGTGGTTGTGGACCCCATAATTCCCAGAATAATACCTTAATCTGTATCGGGTTTCGATAATCGCTCAGCACTTAATTCCTTGCTATTAATATTTATCGTAAATCTAGTAACGTCATTGCGTTGCTAGCTTGTTAGCGAGACGTTATGCCAGCAACGCTCAATGGTTCGTTGCGGTGAAAATTTTGGAGCAACTAATTTTTAAACTTGGTACTTAATTAGCACCTAAAAAGCCCCTAATTTGGACTTTTTCTGAAAGCAATTTTGATTCTATTTTGATTTTCAGGAAATCTGAATTCTGCATCTGCTATGTTCTGAATAACGACTTTATTTTTATTAGGGGCGCCTTGTTACTGCGTATACTTGCAGCACCTAATTAGCACTTAATTCCTTGCTATTAATATTTTTCGTATATCTAATAACTTCATTGCGTTGCTAGCGAGACGTTTTGCTAGCAACGCAAATTTCAACAGTTCGTTGCGATGAAAATTTTAGAGCACCTAATTTTTAAACTTGGCACCTAATTAGCACCTAAAAAGCCCCTAATTTTGGATTTTTCCAAATGCAAATTCCCGACTTTGCGTTGCTGGCGATACACAAACTCTTCAATTACACAATAATCGTGGGTTTTTTTTAAAGAAGTAGGCAAATTTCCTCACCATATATATGGATTTGTGATAGCAATATTCTTGTGTGTGACGACAGCTGCTTTAGGTAATCCTGTAGTTCCACTAGTAGCAATAAGAAAAGCTATAGTATCTTCGGGGTCAAAGTCCGTAGGTCTGGAAGAATGTATTGTCTTGAGTAAGAACAGAACAGAACAGAACAGATATAAAATGGTTTCATTATAAAAAAGTCTCATGTATAAACTCTATGTATAAAAATCAATAGCTGTCAGTTAGAAAATTTGAATTTTTGATTCTTTGTCGTTAGAAAATTTGAAGATCTGTAATTTGAAGAATTTTTCTATGCATTTGAATGGGTCCCTAGATGGTTTAGATTCTAATTTAGACCCGATAGGCGCTGTAGTTGAGATCCAAAAAATTACCGTGCGAAGCCGCTAGTGTTAAATGCATTTAATATACTCCGGGGAACGGAGATAATAGGCGAACCTACGAAGCACTTTTTGCCGTCGCAATTTTTTTTAAACATGCACATTTTCTGGAGTTATTCCGACCGGCGACGATTTCCACCAGAGTTATATAACTGGATTGCTATTATCTAAATCGCACTAGCTTAGAGAAAGACCATCCACTCTTCTCTTGAATATGTCTTAAAATACTCATAAATGAATAACACCCTATACTTACTCACATATTTCTGCTGCCAAACAGCAGTGCTTGCACTGATGTGTTTCGGTTTGAAGGGTATAGAAAGCCAGTACAATTACAGGTTATGAGGCATTCCATCTTAGTCTTCAGAGGAGGCAACGCATCTACAGCCTTCTTTGGTTGCAGGTGTCTATGGGCTGCTGCAGCCGCATGCCATTAGGTAGACTCATAGTTTGCTTGTAACTTCAATTTTATATATAAAAAAAATCTTGACTTCTTTTCCATGAGTCATATTACAATACTCAAGGGAAAAAATATATCGATATATCGAGGGTTTACTGCAAAAACCTGCTAAGTGACATTTTTTCAAAAAATAAGATAAATACATAAAGATACAAATTTTATCGAGCTCTATATGCTGGCAAAACCGGCTAAGTGATATGTCAAGCCGTTTAGAATTTATTTCATGGTAAAACCAGTTAAATCAAACTAAACGGCTTAAACTTAATAGCTAAAATAACATAAACTTCGTTACTAATAAATTTCCTCCTAATGTTAACCTGAAAAATGTTTTAAGCATTCTTAACACCTTTTTGTTTTTGATAGGTTATGCAAAATTTTTTCACATACTTTCAGTAAAAAAATACTAAAAGTACATAAACGCATATGATAGAATAACTTTGTTATCTTGCCATTAAAACTTTACTGCAAAAACCTTCTATATAAGTTTAACTGCAAATACTTGTACTAAAATATTCGATTTGTCTCGGATCGTTAACATGTAAAATCGACTAAACGATTCTAGCTCGTTTGTCAAAAAAAAAAATGCAAAAATTATTACATCATAATAGTTAATAAAACGCAATCTGACTTTATCCAAAGAATAAAAAACCACTTCGAATCATTTCCTTGTATGAAAGCCAACTACAGTAGAAAAGACACCCAACGCAGATATTTAGATAAAAAACTTAACATTCGAAGTATGCATTTATTGTACAAAGATGAATGTTTTTCGTTGTGGTTCTGAGCCAGCTTCTGAAACAACTTACGGGAGAATATTTTCAAAACAGAATAATTCTGATTTTTTTGTGCCTAAGACAGACCAATGCTTAATTTGTACTAATATGCCCAAGTAGAAACAGAGAAGAAAAGAGAACTCAATTCAGTTTACCAAGAAAGAAAGAAAATTTGCAATTGAGAAAAAGAAAAGGATAAAGTTAGATCAAACACAAATGAGCATTTTACACAGTAACATTTGAATTGCAAGCAGTGCTCTAAATACCTGCCTACGCCGTATGCCTGCTATTAGATAGCTGTGTGTATGCAACCTCACCACCTACGAAGCTGCTCTACCCAATAATGCTAAATCAAAGGTAAAAGGAAGGAAAGGTGCCCCCGAAAATGAAACTATACTATTACACTACCTTTAAAATTGTTTCACTGATAATGTTACAGAAATAAGCTTATTTCCAGACACTAGTGGCGGCCAAAACCAAAACCAATTTGTGGTTGCTTTGCTTTTTTGGGCTGTCCAAAAATTGATTACCTTAAATTCATATAACAAAAGCATTTGTTATATGAATTTAAGTTTAACAAGAGTCAGAATCAGCAAAAAATACCTGATTGAATTTTTATTTTCAAACGTGCTAGACATAGACATAGTATAAAAGTTGATAGTAAGAAAATTACAAACACATACCATGTAAAAGAATTTAAGTATCACGAGTTCCTTGTTATTCCTAGTTGTTAACATCGATGGCGAGTACATCACTCACCTTCATCACTTCACGGTAGAATCGCTGGAGGTCCTACAGTGCCTAAACCCTCCAGCAATTCAATAGTGCCTTCCAACGGATAGGTTTTAAGATGAACATGGACAAAACCAAGATCATATGTAACGTCCACGTCATACCTATGTCGGTAGTTGTTGGGAGCACTAAGCTCGAAGTTGTTGACGTGAATGTTTACCTGGGACAAATAGTCTGACCAGGTAAGTCCAACTTCGACCGAGAGATCAATCGACGAATTCAACCTATTTAGAGGTATACCTCAAATTATGAAAACAAGATTGTACAACAAGAGCGTGTTGCCAGTGATGACTTGTGGATCTGAGACTTGGTCCTTCACTGCTGGTCATATCATGATGAAGCTCAAGATCGCTCAGCGAGCTATGGACATGACTGTGCTTAGAGTTTCTCTTTCTGATAAACTCATAAGTGATGATGTCTGCAGAAGAACCAGAGTAACCGACATAGCCCAACGAATTAGTAAGCTGAAGTGGCAATGGGCCGGCCATATAGCTCAAAAAACATTAGTGCCCCCCCCCCACTAATGTTTTCAACTATGAAATGAGCAAAAACTTTAACGTAATAGACACTGGAGATGATCCATCAACTTCCCAATCAGACGGTGCGCATAATCACAACTATTCAACACGAAACAAGAAGCGACTGACTGAAAATGATTTATCACCTTTAAATCATCAATTTCCAGATCAATTATACCGATTAAAATAAGTGCGGCCGAGGAAAGAATATTTTTAAATCTGTGTAGAAAAGAACGAAAACGAAAATTTAAATGTTAAAAAAAATCTTATATTTACGCGGAGACTACACCCACGTCACACCCGTGACGAGTGCTGTAAAGCACCCGAAACGTCGGGAGTTAAAAAAACTTAAATTAGAACACGATAAAATCTGTAAAAATTAGTTTCATTTAATGTTAAAAAATTTAAAAAAGACATTGCTGGAACCAGCAATAGATGAAACTGAAAGTGGAGAAGAAGAGTGATTACTTAATAATTAAGGTACTTGCTGAAATTAATGAAAATACAATTGATAGTAGTTACACTCCACACTCTTCTTCTTCACTTTCAAACTGGTTATACTATAAGTATTATAAGGCAAGAAAAATAATATTGTGAATTTAACTTTTTATGTTATTACACCTTTATCCTAAAAGTTATAAAACATTTACAGGTAAAACCAACTAACTTTTTTCTTATGTAGCTTACGCTTTAAATTAATTCCTTAATGATTGTATGATTACATAAAATGCAGTTACTTATTTGCAGCTTACCCACCATTAATCATAAACCATACAAAACATCAAAAATCTTAGTAAAACTGCATTTTAGCAATTGACATGTAAAACCGACTAACTGCACGACTTTATCTAAACAATTCCTTATTTAAAGATTTCTATCACACATGTTTATTCAAACTACACAAAAATATAATCTTAAATATATATTCTAACATATGACTGCTAATGTATGTGGGACCTACCAACATTTTAGTTACTAAATCAAGTGTAAACTTTTAAAACTCTTTAACTCAAAACTATCTTCGCTGAACTTAGCAGGTTTTTGCAGTAAACCCTCGATATATCGAATCGATAGTTTTAAGCAGTATCGATATATATCGCGTGATAAATATCTATATATCGATATATAGTTACCAATTCGATGATGTAAAGATAAGGTCCAAAATTTTATATTACTACCAGTTGGACGGCAAAAAAAAAGACGACAACCAACTACATATGAATTCTTTTGTACCACCTTTTGTTGTTGCATGTTTTGTCATTAATACAACATTTAAAAATATATCGAAGTTGATACGAATTCGATACTCTAAAATGAATATCGATATATCGCGATTTAAAATATTAAAATATAATAAAATAAAAAAATAAAATATTGATATTTCGATATATCGATCTTTTTTGCCCAAGCCTACAACAGTCTGCGTTGGCGCAAGCACGTGAACAGACGTATTAATAAATCGATCGCTAAAATCGAGGACGGGGCAATAGCCTCCAATATAGTGAAGTGTAATAATTGCAATATTGTGATCTCTGAGTATTTGCCTTCATTCAAAACAAGGCTGACGTTATAGATGAAGAATGCATTATATATCTGTGTACTCCTTCGTTTTCGGATGAGAAAGTGGTACAAGCCAAATTTTTTATTTGAGTTTATTGCTACTACGAGCCGAAAGATTAGGCGCAAGAAAGGAAGGAAAGGGAGATCTTCTAGTGTGATTAAAAGAACGAGCCCAGAAAACATGCCCATAATCCATAGATTAATGGATAAGTCATCGCAAGCTCTGACTAGATACCGCCGGCGCTCATGTAAAATGCGGCAACTACGAAACTACGCCTAACTAATACTACGCCGAAATCGGCGTACCCGAGCCAGTCGCGTTGCAGGCAACGTGTGAGGTCAACGTACCGAATGTTTTATTAAATTTTGATCATAATCCGAAGTAAAATACCAGTTTACGTATTGAAACTGTGTAAAAATAATACTACAAGAAATAAGAAAGACACTGGAATCACATACTATCATTAAGTATCATACAATTTCGAAATTTTAACATAAAATAACACGAGCCATAAATAAGTCACAAAATATCAATGACGCTATTCAGTGTTGCCGCGAATGCAAAAATAAAGTTCCCCGTGGCTGAGATTTTTATATGTGAATTTATTGTTACTATATTTTATAAATAATATATTTTATTTCTGTAGTATTGCTCAAATGACATAATTGCCGTTTATTAGGATTTCGTACCCAAAGAGTATCAACGTGAACCAAGTCTCCACTATCGTTCCGTCTGTCTGTCAGTAGGCTGTATCTTATGAATCGTAATATGTAAAATTATCACAGAATGTGTATTTATATTGCTGCTATAACATCATAAAATAAAAAAGAAAACAAGTAAAATATTAAAGGACCCAAAAAAATCACGTTTCTTGTATGAAGACCATACAAGAAATGTGATTTTTTTTTGTATTGATATGTGTTTTGTTTACAGACTAAAGCGAAACCTGGATTAACGCGCAATAAAATGATGCTGTGTGTATGGTGGGACTGAAAGTTTGTTTTTTTTGAGCTTTTACCGCCGGGTAAAACCATCGTTTCGGATCTCTACTACCAATAAATAATGAGACAAGCAAGAAATAGAAAAAAAAAAACGGCTGGCATTGATAATCAGAAAAGGAGTGGTCTTTCATCATGATAACGCCAGATCACAAGATTAGTTATCTGTTTGAGACTTTTAATACACACTAACATTCCTAAAATCCAGTATTTGCTTGAGTACTTCAAACTGGTTTAAAAGTTTTAGTCATTATTTTCTTTTGTTGCTTGTGTTCTTTAAAAGAAAGCTTTCTGGAGGTTTTAATATTTAAGTTTATATTTTTTTTCCATTATAAATGGGATGACTAAATCCATGTTCCTTCAAATCTCTGGTATTGAATATATCAAATAAAACTACTTGTCGCATTTTTTAATCAAAATCCCAAGATTTCTACAGCAACGTTTATTTTTTATTATGTACTATATACTGTATTTACCTACAAGATGGTAACAAATTATCGAACAAAATGGACCCATATATATTATAATTAAATGTAATAAAACTTTAAAACAAAAACATCTTGAATTTGTATACAATACACGAAGAAACTTATTCCCCGGTCTTATATACTAACTAAAGGTGTAACAAAATAGTACTTAATAACCTAGGGAATGATTCTGCCCGTCAACATGAATATTTTTTATTATGGGATCATCTTCGAAATTTTCAATTTATACGTGATAGACCCATACTGCAGCTATATTACTGGTATAGTTGTAGCACGAATGGGTCAGCTCGACCGGGGAAGGACCACGCTCTCACAGAATACCAGTGTAAAATAGGAACTTAACGCTGCTGTGTTTCCTATGATGAGTGTAGAGAACCGGAGACCCTTCTTACTGTAAACGAGGCATTCCATCTTAGTCCTCAGGGGTTGCAACGCATCTGCATTTTGATTCTTAACTGAGGATAGATGTATATGTCTATGGGCCACAGCAACCACTTACTATCAGGTGGACTGAGTGCTCGTTTGTCACCCAGATCCTATAAAAAATATCTCAAAGTTAGTTATTCCATACAAAACTTCGTACAAACTTGCTCAAAATGTATGGAAGACCTATATATATATATAACTATTTTTTAAAATAATTTGTGAATATTAGTTAGACATGTAAATAAAAAAAATAAACTGATAAAAAGGAGGCCTTATCATTTATATGTCATTTATTCAGAAGAAAAAACTAAACATATTATATACAAATATATTGATACATTCGTTATTAATAAACTATTCATTTTTAAGTATTTCTGAATTAAAATCATAACTATGAACTTAACTACTAAGCCATAGCATAAAATAAATTTTCCCATTAATCGGGTAATAGTTAAGCTGCTGGCATATACAATTTTTCACGCACGCTAGCATCATGCAAATTGTCTTATACACACTACAACATTAAGATGCCGCATTCATGGAGCTGTTACTTGTAGGGAGCGCGGTATCTAGTCAGAGCGCGCGATGACTTATCATTAATCTAAGATAGACAGGATACACACTAACATTATTGTATTTTAAAGTGACGCAGGTAGTACTATATCTACGTACAGTTATTTATTATGACACGTTGCCCTAACAAAAAGAGACAAATGATACGGCATACATATCGTTAGAAAAAGATGAATATACATCATTAGTTGCGTATTGATTGCTGCTGAGCGCGCATTGGCGCAAGCGCGTGACATACCAATATGGAAATGAACACATTAGCTAGCGTCAAAGTTTACACTAGCGGTTAGTGTTGAAATAATAAAACCAATTATGAACAAAACATCAAAATACAAAATATTAAAGAGACGTTGTTCTTGTCTCTAACAGTTGCCGTGTAATTTGTGCACCACTTAAAAACACAGGAAGGCATTTTTACCACGAATAACTAGAAGATTTATGCGTTGTGGCGAAGGTATAGCCGCGACGCGAGAGCGTGCCCGACTGAATGCGAGTCGAGCAATTACCTGACTTTTGTATTGCCATTTTAGAGCGAGTATGACGTATCTATACTTTAAAAACATCTTAGGACGCGGGTATTTATTAGATAACAGTTTAAATGTTGACAGTGATCCAATAACCGCTACAAGAAAGGCCAATGAAATGGCTCGCGCTGATAAGAACATATCTGTCCCATTCTCATGCGATATTCCTGTTTCGTTCGCACCATTACCTGTACATCGCTACGAGGCGAATTTGAAATAATTAGAGTATGTTATTGTTATTAAAAATACATGTTTTTACTACAATTTGCTTAAAATATGCTAACTTTTAAAATTTGGCAACATAATCGTCATCGCCATTTACTTACTTGAAATCTTCAACGACCGATGCGTCTCCATATTTCTCGAGAAAATCGGCAAAGTTAAATAGATAATCTCCTTTATCAAAGCTTACTATATGCGTATTTAATTCCAATTTATTTAAAGCTAGTTGAATGTCTTGCGCTTTTTCGCTTTGACAAAACACTAGTTTTGGTTGACTGACACCGAAGGATTCTTGAAGTTCCTCTGTAATGAAAATAGGCTTAATATGTGATTTTGGTTTTATAGGAGAGGGGACAAATGAGCATGCGGCTCACCTGATGGTAAGTGAGTAAGTGACTACAGCCGCCCATGAACAACTAGTTTAAGAGCCAGTGAGCGGCAGACTTACGGTATTTCAATAAGCTTCACGTTTTTTTCACTTAATCCCCTATATATGAGGTACATGAAATGAGGATTCTTTTGTTTGACCGGCGGTCGATATAGAGACACTCGGGTGTTAAATGTGTAAAAAATTACCAAAAAAACGTGATAGTAATAAGTCTGCCGCTTTGACATCTTGAACTACTCAATAAAAGTTACCAAAAATAACATTGGCAGACACCTAAGGCGGTCGCAAGGTCAGAGGGCAGACAGGTTGACAAGTACAAATTTTTCTTAATAATTTACGTTATTTCAATAAAGCTGCAATTCATATATGTTGTTGATAATATTATTTGATATATGTTTGCATGGCAGACACATATTAATACATATTAATCACGCCTAGAAAACTGTGAAATAAAATCTTTAAAAACATTTTTATCTTGGGTACTTCCCATACAGTGATGACTTAGGGAACTGAGACGTGGTCCTTCACTGCTGGCCGTATGAGGAAGCTCAAGGTCGCTCAGCGAGCTATGGAGAGGGCTATGCTCGGAGTTTCTCTGCGTGATAAGCTTAGGAATGAGGATATCCGCAGTAGAACCAGAATAACCGACATAGCCCAACGAATTAGTAAGCTGAAGTGGCAGTGGGCCGGCCATATAGCTCGAAGAACCGACAACCGATGGGGAAGAAAGGTTCTCGAGTGGCAGCCTCGTACCGGTAGGCGAAGTGTAGGGCGTCCCCCCACGAGATGGAGTGACGACCTGGTAAGACATGCAGGAAGTCGATGGATGCAGGTGGCTCAGGACCGTGCTTTGTGGCATTCTTTGGGGGAGGCCTATGTTCAACAGTGGATTTGTGAAGGGCTGTAATGATGATGATGACTTCCCATACAAGTAAATGGAGGATGATTTTTCTAACCGTCCATTCCATCACGTGGGAAATGTTGGATAGGTCTTTCAAAAACAATGGGGGTGTGGAACATCATTTTTTCGATTCAGGGGTCCGTTTGCGAAATATTTAGCTTTAAAGTGGTATTTTTCATTATAGTTATGTGTCCCCCTCTACCAACTAAACCACTGTTTTTTAGAAATGTGAAAATTATACCCAATAGTAGTATATATAATGAAGTTAAAAGGAAAACTATCACAGCTAAGTTAAATTCAGAACTTAACGAGTAATAGTCAACCAACTTAAAAAATTTCGTTTCAACTCCATAGAAAATGTCCTAAAATTAGCTGCATTGAGCGAAAGGATACGGTAATCACATGAATGGTGAATACATAGGCTGCACGAAAAGTATCGGGAATGGAATATTTCCACTGTTCCTGTCATATTAAAATCTTTTTAATTGAAAAGTCCTTGGTTTTAAAAATCGAATACCATTTATTTATTTAAAAAAAGATTCTCGGTCTTGTCACAAGGTTTTGTCAAACTTGTTTCGTCGTTGAGAAAATGGAATTGACTCGAGAAAATTCAAGAGCGATGATTTATTATGACTTTCGAAGTGGTTTAACACAAAAACAGTGTGTTGACCGGATGATTTCTGCATTTGGTGATGAAGCCCCATCTAAAACCACAATTTATCGCTAGTTTGCTGAATTTCAAAGTGGACGTGTCAAGCTCAGTGACGATCCACGTCAAGGTCGTCCAAAAACTGCAGTCATCCAAGAAAACGTTGATGCTGTGCGTAAGCTGATTGAGGAAGATCGACATGTGACATACCGCGAAATTCAGGCAACTGTAGATATTGGCATGAGTCAAATACAAATATTCTTGCATGAACAATTAGGTGTAAAAAAGTTGTTTTCCCGATGGATACCGCATTCGCTCTGTGAAGAGCAAAAACCGGCTCGCGTTACTTGGTGTGTCAGAACTCTCGAAAGATTCCACGCAGGATCCTCAAATGCTGTATACAATGTGTACTCAGGTGACGAATCCTGGATATATGCGTACGAACCCGAAACAAAAAAGCAGTCACGAGTTTGGGTGTTCGAAAATGAGTTAAAGCCAACAAAAATTGTTCGTTCACGGAGTGGTGCAAAAAAAATGGTAGCCACGTTTGTCTCCAAAACCGGCCATGTTACGACTATTCCTCTTGAGGGACAAAGATCGGTTAATGCAGAATGGTATGCTGGCATTTGTTTGCCACAGGTCGTTTCTGAATTCCGTAAAGAGAACTGCAACCGTCGCATCATCCTCCACCACGACAATGCGAGTTCTCACACCGCACACAGAACAAAAGTGTTTTTAGAGCAAGAAAACATAGAATTATTAGACCATCCGCCGTACAGCCCCGACCTAAGCCCTAATGATTTCTATACTTTCCCTAAAATAAAGAATAAATTGCGTGGGCAGAGATTTCCATCACCTGGAGAAGCTGTGGACGCCTACAAAACGGCCATTTTGGAGACCCCAACTTCCGAATGGAATGGTTGCTTCAATTGGTTCCCTCGTATGGAAAAATGTATCAAATTTCGCGGAGACTACTTCGAGAAGCAATAAATACATTTTTAAATGGTAATGTTGTGTCACTTCCTTGATTCCCGAAATTTTCAGTGCCGCCTACATCACTCACCTTTGATTTGCCAACGATATAGTCCTTATGACCGAATCGCTGGAAGACCTACTTTAGCACCATGCTCAAGGATCAATAGTGCCTACCAACGGATAGGTCAATATGGACAAATCAAAGATCACGTGTAACGTCCATGTCACACGTATTGCGGTAGTTGTTGGGAGCACTAAGCTCGTAGTTATTAACCAGTATGTTTTCCTGGTACAAATAGTCCCACTAGGTAAGTCCAACTTCGACCTAGAGGTCAATCGACGAATTCAACTCGGCCGGGCAGCGCGTGTTGCCAGTGATGACTTATAAATCTGAGACGTGGCCCTTCACTGCTATTCGTATGAGGAAGCTCAAGGTTGCTCAGCGAGCTATGGAGTTTCTGCAGAATACCCGCAGTAGAACCAGAGTGACCAACATAGCCCAACGGAATAGTAAGCTGAAGTGGCAACGGGGCGGTCATATAACTCGAAGAACCGACAACCGATGGGGAGAAAAGGTTTTTCGAGTGGCAGCCTTGTAACGGTAGGCGAAGTGTAAAGCGATCCCTACTAGATGATAGAGGGACGAACTGGTAAGACATGCGGGATGTCGATGGATACAGGTGGCTCAGGACAGTGCTTTGTGGCATTACTTGGGGCAGACCTATGTTCAGCAGTAGACTTGTGATGGGTTGTAATGATGATGATGATGATGGCGACGATGACTGATGCTAAAGAACAGTTGAAAGCAAGTATTTTAATTGATGTAATAGAAATTTTAATTTAAACTAAATACTGGATTAGAGCGAGTGCTATAGTACGCGCTTATGGACGCTACTGAAGTTCTTTGTCTGTTTGGGTGATAGAACCGCAATATATGTCTGCCATGCAAAACATATATGTCAAATAATATTACCAACAACATATATAAATTGCAGCTTTATTGAAATAACGTAAATTATAAAGAAAAAATTGTAAGGTACGTTGGGGTAATACCGGACGGATTTTCGAATAGTTGGAAGAGTCTGCCAAAAACTTTAATTTCTCGACATTCGTATACGTCAGATTTATGGAACATGGAGCAAACCGTTAATCGTTAAACGTAGTTTAGCTCTGAAAATCTTTTGCTTGTGTAAACTCAACGCTTTCTGCTTTAAAGGTGTGCGAAAACTAGACGTACTTTTTTATATGCATAATGAAAAATTGGCCATTAAGGGGTAAGACCGGACTTAAATTTAAAACCACTTCTACTGCTTAGAGAAAAAAGTTTGTAAAAGAGATTTGTCCTATCTTTAACGCTCAAAAACATATTTCAATATGATCTATAAATTACTAGAAACATAAATGTTCCAAACGATTTTCTCTTTTTTTGTTTCTTGTCATCCGATCTTATCCCTGATATAGAGAAATTGTAATTTTATGTTTCTCAAACTTTGTTATGACATAAGATGGAATTACTCAATATAGGAGAAAGATCGGATGGATTTGATTTTATATGGGAAAAAAAACAGTAAGAACTGGCGAAATGCCCTGGGATAATGCAGGAGTTAAGGAAGATATAAATATTTTAACAAAGCGGCATTTATTATTATAAATTATTTTTTAAATAATTATTATAAATTACATTTTGATTTGTAATAGAGGATAGATATAGATGTCTATGGGCCGCACCAATCATTTAACATCAGGTGGACTGTGTGCTACTTTGTCACCCTTATCCTATAAAAAAAATGTATTTTAATATGTACTTAAAAGTAATAAAACCGTCGTATTGTTTTATTACTTTTAAATATACAGACTTGCTAACGAGACTGAGTCCCATAGTCACTTGAGTAATCAACGAAAAAATATACACGACCAATGAAAGTTTAACAACCACTGCCATATTTGTAACAGGCAAAGATCGGATAATATTCATCCGATCTTCACTCACGAGGGGAAACATCGGATCTCGGCCTACAGCGATCTTAGCCCTGCATGGACCAGCTTTATTTAGCTATAACTTCATAAAAATTAGTATCCACACAAAATAATAACAAAAGAAGCCGTATTCTCGCTAAAAATCGTAAATAAAAGTGATAGGGAAAGATCGGATGGACAAAAATAATACAAAAATTACATTGTTTTATAAAATGCCACGCAGCACAGGTCCCACTTGCCGGAGTGACTGGCGCGAACTGAGGGTCGGGGCAGGATGAAATGGCGTCGTGTAGCATATTGTTAGCTTTTCAAAATGTAGCATAATTCGCCGGGAATTTGAATCCTACGGTCTTGCCCCATCACCGATCTTACCCCAACGTACCTTACTTGTCAACCTGTCTGCCATGCCCTTG